TAGAGTATATTTTTGTCTGTTTATCTTTACTTTTACTTAAGTACAGTGTTTTAGAACTTTCTCCACCACTGTCCTCAACACATATTGTGCTTTGAGCACTAACAGGTCTCACACTACTGCATGAGATCCCCCTATCATTTACAAGTTTCACCAAAACAGCTGCAACTAAACTTAGCACAAAAAGTAAAAAATTGTGTGTTTRGTAGATTATTTCTTTATGGTTACAATTCTTATGCATAATTCTTTCCTTTTAAATGGTGCCATATTTGTAAGGAACATGCATTTGTGGGATGAGTGGTAGTATCTGGGTTGTGCACATGAAAAATTGGCCAAATCCTCTGCTATTGGCAAACAGCGTATTCTGCCACTTACTCATTTAGTGTTTTGTAGACTGAATGATTGAAGTTTGGAAAAGCAATTTAACATTTTAATAATTAAACATACAGGAGTCTCAGTAGCGTGTAGAAGGACCATACACAGGCACAACAGCCTCAAGCTAGACACCAGCCTGGTCACACTCTGTTTCTTTTTGGGGTGTCATCTTCTCAGGATAAACATTTTGTGCCCTGTCTCTGACATCCTTTGTTGTATGAAACTCGGCCTTCAATTTGGAGATGGTACTAGGCCTCACTCCAAAAAAAAAAAAAAAAAAAAAACATGACCTGGTTTTGCGGAACACCAGCTTGAGGTTGCCACATTGCACAAGCCCTAGCCAGATCAGTCAAACATGGCATGCCGATTCCTGAAGCAGACAGCTACTGACCACTGTAGCAGGGTCCATGCTCATACGTGCTGCCATGATTGGCAGCATCTGGGGGCACCAGAAGCTCAAAACAAGTGTCAATAGCAATAGTAAAATAAGCTGTTTTTCAGAAAGGATTTGACATTTTTTTCATCTGCACAACCCACATACTCAGCTCTACTGCTCATCCCATAACTGCATGTTCCTTACAAATGTGGCTCCATTTAAAAGGGAAAATAACAGACTTTCCAAGGGTAAAAGATTTATTGCTAATAAGCATTGTTACAACAAAGATATTAATCTACCAAACACACATTTCCTTATTTTTTGTGCTACTGTAAGTTTATGTCCCTACTTTGGCCTAAAAAACAGCAGGTGATATGCAATGTTAGTCCATTTAATTTGAAATGTGCCTTAATAGTACAATTAGCGCTGCAGAAGTGTGAAGGATCTGGTGATTCTGTTTACTTGTAAARCTAACTCCAGCAGAGTTCACACCCTCCCCCAGTCAGTTTCTACCTCCCTAACTTTATTTTTGTGCTCAAAAATAAGGGGTAGGCAGTAAAAGAAAGAAAGAGAAATATATAAGACAGTGGATATTTTTATCCCCAACTCTGTTGAGGCATGGCTTTCATTCCTTCTCCTTTCAGCCTCATTCATCTTTACAACCCGCCCTCATTCAGTGGGTGCTCCATCTCTGTGGTCTCTCCCCCATTTTCACCCACCCCCAATGAATAAGGTGGTTGCAGCTATAAAGGAGGCTGGTCAGTGACATAAACTGGAGCTTAGCTCTACAAATCTAACACCACACTAGAATAAATATTGTTGAGGGGTGCAAAATAGTTGTCTGTGTTTCTAGTGAAGGAATGTTCATCCATGACTGATGAGACTCTTCTGTTCTGCAGCACACACACTTTTAGCCTGTGTCCGTATCATAGCAACAACCTATCAGTCCACCTGTTCTGTGGGCAAGTGTCCAGAGGGTCTAGAAAAACACACACACACACACACACACACACACACACACACACACACACACACACACACACACACACACACACACAAACATTCCTTGTCTGCATTTTGTTTAAAGGGGTAGTCTGGTCATTTTAAAAGTGATGTTTGATAAAGCAATCATCAATTCCCTAATTTGTCATGACATTAATCATGAGTTGGAAGGATAAAGGAAAATGTCTTCATCCAAGGCTACGTTCACACTGTGGGCAAATCTGATTCAAATCCGATTTTTTGACCCATATGACTCATATCCGATTTTTTTATGACAGTCTGMACGAGACAAATCCGATTTTTTTCAAATCCGACCCAGGCCGTTTCAGTATGTGGTTTTAAATCGGATATATATCTGATGTTTTCAAAGTGACTGCAGTGTGAACGCTCATGTCACATTCATCTGACTTTTAAATCAGGAGGAGTGGCTGAAGGATCGATAAGACACTAACCTCAAGTCTCGCTGTTTAAATCTGTAGCTCTGTGTGTTTACAGCTCCAAAACACAAGTCCAGTTGCTTCATCTTTTTTACTTTTCWTTTTCCACGTAGATAGTATGATAATAACAATGTCCAGCCTGGGTCGCGGAGAGTATCGATCCTAAAGTTCGATACTCGGTCGATACATTTTTCCAGCTCGTAGTTTCGTTCAAAAAAAAAAAAGCTTCACTGGAGCATCCCGGTCAGAGGCAGGTTCAGATATAAACACTGAACTAAAGAAGCATGTCAGATAATTATTTAATCGGCTCTGATTAAACAACAACTTCCGATTCGATGTGCAAAATGTAGCATCCATGCTAGCTCTGTAAACAAACAAGCCGGCTGATGAGACGTCACGTCTTTTACTGCGCAGGCGTGTCACATCAGTGCTGTGTAGCGTTCACACAGGGGTCTGATGCAGGTCACATTTAAAATGTAATGTGAACGTTCACACAAAAAAGATCAGATTTTTTTCAAAAAATCTGAACTGAGCATTAAGACCTGCAGTGTGAACGTAGCCTAAGCTTAGCTATAGYTAAACATGGTCTTCTTTTAAATTGTTTTTCAAGTTTAGAAAACTAGTTTTTTGTTTTTTTTTTCAAAATTGGCATAATCTTGTAAAACACCGAACACAAATTCTGCAGGCTAAATGTGGCCCACAAGACCTTCAAATATGTATTAATGTCTTATAAACGTATGCCACTTTAAAGTAAACACTGACTATAAACGACATCTGCCATAATGCGTGTTGCTTGTTTTACACTTGAAATGATGACATCCCACCAATAGGTGGAGCTGCACAGGTTCAAAACTAGTCTGTAGTCAGCAGCTGGCAAAATTTGCTGTGTAAAATCTCCATTTCATTGCATTTTTACTCAATTTGCGATGACCCAGTTGTACTGCTGGCAAATTTAAACTAAACAGTCAGAATTTCATATCAGAAAGTGGGAGAGTTTAGAATTCAGGATGGCAGCTACTTCCCACCACTCAACAGTGAGTAAAACACTCTTAATTTACTTTTAACAGTATTTTTGAAAACATTTAATTCACTTTTAATCAGTTGTACACAAAGTACTTTTCAGTGTTTAAAAGAGGACATGTTAAAACACTGTTTCTATACACAAAATACCACATAGAACACAGTTACTGTTTGTTAGCTGTCCTCAGATGTAGCAATGCAACAAGAAATGTGACGTTTCGTTTTTAGTCAAGTTAAACACGAAACATCAAAGTTAAGTACAACTGGCCTTTTGAGGGCAGCCATACTGCTCATGTGGCCCTCTGTGAAAATGAGTTGGACACCTCTATTGTAAGAGAATGTGTGAAATTAAACATTTTCTTCTGCTTTCACCTGATACATTTTGTTTAATTTGTGGCTGTTCTTCCAATGAACCAGTGCCCATGTTATTGTGCACGTGTGTGCTGAGCATACAGAGGTCAATGGTTAAATTGGTTGTATTTGTAAGCTTGTCAAACATGCTGCATTTTTTACTGCCTGTCTCCATAAAAAGCAGGCAGTTATGTAATTGCTTGTGTCTGTAGTTTTGTCTGTCCTGCTAGCTTGACACTGCAGCAAATCTTTCACACAATGTCCTACAGAACATGAAACACCTCACCTGCTGCTGTATGTGAGGTGCACGTGAATGCATGCTCCATTTAGAAGTTTGCCCCATCACCTCTCTTCAGAGCGCAGTAAAAGGGGGAAGGAAAAAGGAGCCCGCTCCGCTGTGTCGTACATGACCGCTGACAGAAGCAGTGAGGAGACAGAGTGGGGAAGGACAGCTGTGATTAATGTGGAGCCAGTGTGGACCCAAGAATATCTCCCCACTGCCCTCCATCTTAGCTAATGTGACCTGCCATATGGGTCAACCATTAGTGTGTGTGATGGTACAGTGCAGTACAATAGGTCTGAGACCTAACTTGTTCTGAAGTGGGCTTGATTTTCAAATACGATATCACACATTTCAATGTGTTGTCTCTCAACCAATCGCCATCCTTAAAAAAATAACAAAAATCACTTATGTGCAACTATTGATGTCTCCACTTCATTCTCTTTCCCTGAGTTATACAGTTACATTTTGACTTTCATTGTCTACATGTGAGTTATCAAATCTGTTTATGGCCTAAACACGATCATATAGATGTTATATTTTTTCTTTTACTCACTAAACTGTTTCACATTGTGTCTAAAAGTTTATGTACACTTCGAGTCAACCACTTTTAAAGCTGCAGTAGGGAGTTCTGAGAAAACGTAGCCTGAAAWTTTGAACAAGCAACGTCCCYCTTGCTGAAGGGGTTTCCATAATGTTTTGAAATATTTCCAGGAATCTCAGTTTTCACAGAGCCATGTTCTCATGTGGGCAGAATTTTAAATATGTTCCAAATTGTTGTGTAACAACTTTTCTCCAAAATGTCAGAGAACTTGATGAAGGTGATGAAACATGCTGTTCAGTGTGAACCTAGGTGAAAATTTGTGAATATTCTCGCAATTTTATGTCCCTAGTTGTCCATAGYAGTTGCAGCCCAGTGAGTTGCTAACTTTAGGGTTAATTAAGCCAGATTTTTTTATAAGTTCTAGAAATGTATAACCCACATTTTTTTAATAATATGGTAATAAACAAAACTTTGTAGATCATGGATTATCCTTTCACATGTTCACCTGATAATGTAATTTGTAGTTTTCTTCTATTTTAGATTCTTGATTTGCCCTTCTTCTTACCCATCTCCTTTACTTGTCTCATTTTCAACATTCTCTGCACCTACTTGTCTCAGGTACATGATGAACGTGACGTTTGATGGCAAAGACTTGTCTTTCACGGAAGATGGCTACCAGGAAAACCCGAAGCTGGTTGTTATTGTTCTCAACAAAGAAAGAGAGTGGGAAAAGGTAAGATTCTTATCTGGATTGGTTTCCATTTGTTGCATGAAGTTACTTCACAGTGTAAATTTCAACATCCAAGTCATCACTATAGCAATGTGTTGGTTCACACAAATGTTTCAAACCTGTTCAACAATCCAGCAACACAAGATCCAGACTTTTGAATCATGCTAAATCAAACTTATAAATACGTTTTCCAGGTTGCCAATACATACACCCCAGTGCGGGTTTTTCAGTGCCTATGGGTTTGTGGTCTACTCTTTTTGAGGTTTTGAGTTTRATATTTGACTGCTGTCATTTTCTTTAGACAAAACAACCAGATAAGGACAGAAGTGGGGAAACAAGGAAATCTGGTTTGGCAACAAGCATAAAACTACAATAACAAGTGGTCCTCAGTATAATCATACTTTATATTGTTTGGGGGCTTTTTACTCTTTTGCCTCAGTAGTAATTTCCAACATTTTTTAAGTAGGGGTCTCTGCAGAACATTTTATCCTGTGGGCGGAGACGTCCCAAATCGTCAACGGCTGAGGTCTTAATGTGGGCGGAGACGTCCCTGCTCATGATTGGTCGAGGTCATGATGTGGGCGGAGATGGTCCAAGAGATGTGAAATGGCTCGGTTAAAACATCCCTAACCAGCCTATAAAAAAATGCTAAAAATCAATATTTTTTACAGGCTGGTTAGGGACGTTTTAACCAAGCCATATTGTTACATATCCTTTCACATGTACGACGTTCAAATTTCGTACAGCTAGCACTTTCCTTTCTCAAGTTATGACTAAAATTAATCAAAAAAAAAACCGTTACTTCCTGCCCGACTCGACCAAGCTACTCCCCGCTGCCCCCAGCCTCATACCTTACCGTCAATCTGACCAATCACGTCTCTTGGGCCATCTCCACCCACATCAAAATCTCCGCCAATCACGAGTAGGGCCGTCTCTGCCCACAGGACAAAACCTACTGCAGAGACCCCTTACTCACATTTTTAAGAGTCCATTGTATGTTAAGGCGTTATCAATATATGAAATTATATAGTAGTTTTTTGTACAAAATTTGTGCTAAAACTCAGTGTATTTTTTAATTTAAAAAAATGAGGAAAACCAAAAAGTCTTTGGAAAACTAAATGTTTAAACAATCAAACAATATTTTGTTGATCCGTGAACCCATTTCAAAACAAGCTTATTGATTTCTTTAAATGGATGTTGTTAGGAGGCTTTGTCGAGGAATGGCCTCTGTAAAAGGTACTCTGGATACTGTAATGGACTTTAAATGACAGTCATGTATCTTTATACCCACATCGGGATGCCTCACACATGCCTAAATAGCTCGTTTTTAATGTCCCAATAGCTCAGACTGTGGAACGGGTGGCAGGACAAATTTGAGAGGGATATGCTAAAAGAGAGGCGTGGGAAAGGTCCTAATGGGCAATCTTCACCGTGCCTTTCCCTGTATTCATCTGATCCTGATTTTTACTTTTTTTCTGTAGTTTCATTTTTTCATCTCTGCCCTGCCTTTTTCCTGTTATCCTTTGTTCCCCCAACCCCACCCTATAAGTCCGATAATCCGTGCTCTCTGGTGTTGTGCTCTCTGATAGCAGTTAATCAAAACCTGAGACGTCTGTTATTGGGGTGGCAAAGGGTCACTGCTCTCCTGTGGCTGCGTGTGTGTGTGTGTGTGTGTTTACCCTTCTGCACTGGTAATCGACAGTAACGCTATCCAAGAGACTTTGTGTTGCGATCAGTCTGGTTGCATTCAGGTCRCATTTGTGCGTCTTGCTGCATGTGGTTCCATTTGCCGCAATCTGCACAGTTTCCACTCAGTCCTCTGAGCTCGCTTTTTTATATTTCATGCTGACACGCAAGTTTTTTTGTATCGGCATGCTGAGGAGGCGATGTAGTGCACTGTAAAGAGAGAGCTGGTGAAACTGATCAGCAGCACTGCACTGTTGCGTAGAAAAAGTCGAAAGGCAAAAGGAGAGACACCAACACCCAAAAGTAGGAACATAATTGGAACATAATCGTTACATAAATTCATCTCTTTCTCTCCCTCTTGTTCCTTGGTGCTGTTGTCCCACCCATGCACCAGAAATCAGTAGCAGAGAGTGAAAGAGACTTACAGTACATGATAATCAAGAGATAAAAATTCTGTAACCGTGCTAAAATATGGACATGCACTAAAAATAAAAAAGTGAGTCCCCTTGGGGCGTAGGAAGCAGAGACGGGGAAAATAAAAGCAATAGAATGATACTGAAATAAGCAGCGCCATGAAGAGATGGGCTTAAATAGTGCAAACAAAYGAGTGGGAGAATGAAAAAAAACAGATGGAACGGTTTAAAAGAAGGCAACTGAGTAGAGATGTATGGAACTTAGTCACCAACACGTGCACAATCTCACAAGTGTTTATCACTCAGGTGTTCAGAGTACCCACCTGTACTCCTTTCCGCAACGTACACAGGATGTTGCTCTTGTTGGCTGGAACATTTGTCACTTCGGATACAACAACTGATAATACCACAATAGTCAAGTTGATTGCAATCATAGTCTGGATGTAAATTAAAAACAAGGCTTTGGAATTTTTCACATTCTATAAACAAGGGATAAGGCACGGGTTTAAACCTTTGGTGACCACCAACTAAGGCAGAACCAGCTTAAAACTCTTCTTCCTAAATGTGGTCACAAATGCACAAAAGTGATATTTAAACAACATATTACAAAAAAAGTGCTTATTTGCTTTTTACCTCCGCCAAGGGTGAGGTAATGTTTTCGTCGCTTATGTCTGTCTGTCTGTCTGTCTGTCTGTCTGTCTGTCTGTCTGTCTGTCTGTCTGTCTGTCTGTCTGTCTGTCTGTCTGTCTGTCTGTCTGTCTGTCTGTCTGTCTGTCTGTCTGTGGACAACATTACTCAAAAACTTGTGGACGGATTGTCATGACATTTTTGCCACATGTGGGTACTGGGCCAAGGAACACACCTTTAAATTTTGGTGATGTTCCAAATCACGATGTGGATACAGGAATTTCTTTTCTTTTAACATTCTGAGATCGGCAAAGCTGTGATGTTTCACAGGTCTTCTGTAAAAAAAACAGTGAGCTAGATTGGAGAGCAACGGACTTCAAACTTTATAAAAGTAATGTTAAAACCACATTTAATGATGAATAATTTTTGCCATAATATGCGCATTTACAGAAAGTTTTGTGACCAGTAAGTGTGTGACTGTACCATGAAACTTATTTTTCCCATTTCCTCAAATACACCACATTTCCGAAACAACCAATCAAAACAGTTTCTCACTACTACGTTTGTAAACAGAGAGCTGCCGGGCCTCAAAGTTTAGAGATGGGGGGGAGTCAGGAAGCACTTTATAAAAAGAGTCAAACATTGCAAACTCATACAAGGAGATAAAACAGACGGTTTTACACGGTGAAATGTGACTGATGAAAWCTTAGGAGCTTAATCCGACACCAGTTTGACGATGAATAACGTTGGGTGACGAGTCTGACATTTCTTTTTTCTTTCACATTGGTCTCCACTGAGAAGAAATTCCATGCATACTGCCTGCTTAAATGTTCACAACGTCAGAACTTATTTGGCAAACGTGTTTCCATCTCTGCTTTTACGCATTAACTCTATTACAGGATGGGGGAAATTGGTCTTGGTGGAGGTTTGCACTCTCCGAGTGCTTCTAGTTTTTCCTTCTGTTACTTTTTCTTTATTTGTACTGAAAGTTTTTGAGTAGTTTATAATTAAAGGCACAGTGTGTATGATTTGTTGTTTTCAGCGACATCTAGTGGTTGAGTGGTTGAATCATCCTCCCAGGTCCCCCCACCCCCACCCCCCGCTTTCAAATACAAAGGAGTTGCTACGGTGTTTCTCAGGTGTCAAAAACCTTTGATAATTCCAACCGCGATGTCTACCAGCAGCTTCAGGGCTAGTGATGTTTCAAGTGGTAAGATTATGAGC